TTTCTTTTTTTAAGTATTCATGAAGTTACAATTAACATTTATCTAAATGAATTACCTAAGCAATAAATTGTTTTTTTAAATTCTGCGAAATTGGAAAAAAATGTGGTGTGATATATACGTGAATAAAGAAACTGTATCCATTCAAAAACATTATCTAAAGTTAAACTATATTTCCTTGGATAAAATTCGCCTTTATTCACTTATACCATAAATGGCTATTATTCACATCGAAACGTATGTAATCAATGTTTAATATGCCATCAGTCTGATTTTAATAAGGACAACAAAAAAGGACCTCTGTTGTTAATTGAACTAATGAGCGTGTTTCTGGTCCATATTTTACGCTTTTTATGTTTAGGTTTATATGTGACGACTGAAATGCTAATCAGTCTTTTATCATGCAGCAAAATTGTTTTCAAAGTCAAATTAATTTATGCTTCAATTTTTTTCAGATATGAACAAACAACTCAAAAAGCAGATTACTGCTGAACCATATTTCAAAACGTTTTTTTTTTTCCAACAGATTCATTGAATAATTTTTATTACGATTTCGTCAACATTTTAGAGAAAATAAAAAAATAAATTTCAGTGTTATCGTATTACGAAAATTCCAAAGAAATCGAATATTTAATTTTTGCTACATTTATATTATACTGTACAATAAAATTATTAAATTATTATTAACCCCTACACAAAGATAGGCATTAAATTGTTAAACCAGGGATATGTCACCTTACGTATTTTAATAAAGTTAAATAAAAAACGTTGTATGATAGAATTTTTGGGTAGCCTTTTAACATCTTAATCATAACTTTAAAACATGCTGAAATTTTGTAGTTCGGGTTCCGTATTTTATATACATATGTCAAAATTAACTCCTTAGTTATCAAACTATCATTCGAAAAGTCCTTGACTATGAACGAACCTAAGAACATTGGGGGTGGTTGTGATTGGTGCGTAAAGTCTAAAAGGCTATAGATTTTGACATAATTCCAGGGTATGATAGTTGATAATGCTTTACATTATTTCGTGTAGATATTATTGTTATTAAATATTAATCATTTATTTTCAATATTTTTAAAAATCAGTTGCCTGGTTTGCATAAGCTAGATGAAAATCACCTCACTGAATTTAATTTTTTGTAGTCCTATACTGCAGATTTGTTACATAATATTTGTCACATTTGTAAGCCTCATTATTTCAGCCGGTTCAATTTCAAATTTTTTCTACGGTTTTTTGCCAATATTTACAGATAAAACACGGCGCATATCAAAACTCACTTCAATAATATCTACATTGTTAATTTACTACATAATTGTAAATTTGCTTCAGCCATATGTATAATTACAAAGAAATGATGTGACACATCATAAAGAAGAAACAAGAACAAATTAAAACAAATCAAAACAAAATATAACAAAATATATGTTACTAAACCGTGACATTGTTATAGAGAATACAGATTTCTTTCAACGAAGTAGTGTGTCAATTTAAATAACTTGAGATATGAAACGGATTTTAAATTTTCAAGTACATTGTCACCTACATACTTGTAATCCTTGTGTTTTTACGAAATAATTCTTTGTAGACACGATCTCCCATAAATATTTTATAAAGGGGAAGTTAATATGTTAGAATTTCTAATAGTTTTACATGACTTCCGTTGAAATATATTCACCATAATACAAATTATTATTATTCTATTTTGGGCAATAAATACGTCATGTGCAAACGAAGAGAAACCCCAGAAGCAAATTCCGTAGCGCAATTGTGGTTCAACTAGTTCATAATAAATCAGCAACAAATGTTCTATGCTGAATAAGTGTCTAATATTTCAGAGTAAACAGCAAGTTTTCGATAACTTACGAATAAGTTTCTCGCACTGTAAACTCCAGTTCCATCTATGGTTCAAAACTAAATTTAGAAGGTTTGCACTGGATGTTCTGGTAATGTAGATACGAGACGAATGTGTGAAATTATTAACACTAAATTGTTTTTTATGGAATCTGATCTAATGCACATATTTTTTTAAGAAAAGTGTGACATGACAATTATCGGTAAATCATCCGCATAGAATCTAATATGAGCACAATTATTATTACTTTGGCATAAATTTATAATGAAATAATTTGGGGCCAAAAATAGCCTCTTAACGAACTTCAAACATCATATATATCTACTTAAAATTTAATTTCTACTTTCCGAGCGTAAGCTAAGGAAGTATTGTGATGAGGTCCATCTGACGAACGGATAATTTTATGACTTTCCGACGTTTTATGACGCTTAGAGTGTAAACAAATAGGTCTCCCATTTCCCTCTATTTGCCGTCTGTTCGCCGTGTACCAACTTTTACTAGACAGATAATCTCCGAAACTGCCGGACCGATTTTATAGAAGGGTGAGCAGTATCGTGCAGATAGTAAAACGTTAACCAAAATTTGTCTGATCATCTCCACCAAAAATGTAATGGCAGCATCTCAAAATGTTTCATCGTAAACGCTATTTAAATTTCAGTAAATAGAATGCTTCTACAGGTGTGGTTTATAAATCCGTTTAGATTTTCCAACATTATCTGAAATTATTTGGAAGATTTGTTAAGGGATTTAGGGCCGGTCTTTTCACCTCCTGATAGAGTTCCTGATTATTTTTATCTACTAGATAATGTCAAATGGAGTCTTTTCACCACCTGATAAAATTATCTTCCAGATAAATAGCTCTTATTCGGCAGATACACTATTCGGAACTTTAAGTTCCGAATAGTCGCCTATTCTTGCTGATATCTGCCGGCGACAACCGATGGCACAGCGAACTTGCGCGATTGTTTCAAATTCACCTGCCCATTTCTGTCAAAGACGGTGTTTACTTATTAAACCGTAAGTGATTTTCTTGTAAAAAAAAATGGGTAAACGAAAAATTGAAAGCGAACAGAAACGGAAGAGAAAGCCAAATTCCACCAAGGCCGAAACAAACCGGCTTTTAACACAAATTTTAATATATAAAATAGTACGTTTAATATTTCGTATTTATCTTTACCTTGTGGCCCGATGTTGTAACTGCTTTTGAATTTCGTTAAACAATAATTCTACTGTGGCTTTTGAAAGACAAAAACGATTAAAAATCTCTTGGTCACTCCAAAAGTTGAAATAATCTCTCCTTTCGCGAACAATATATGTTCGAGGTGGATTTATTTCTTCAATCACATTTATTATTAATAATAAATATGCATCAAATAACATGTCGATACCTTCATAAGTTCATAGACATCCATAGCCCAACCAAAATAAAACGATAATATACGAAGTAAATGAGGTTATGTTAGCAGCGGTACGACTTCAAACGTCAGAAACTGTTGCAAACCCAGTTGCAAATAGTCTTTCTCTCTTATTCATATTACAATACCAATAGCTCCCACTCTCTCGCTTACAGCTGGACTAGCTGATTGTTATCGGAGACCCATGTCTAACAGTTTGAAAATGAAAAGACGGTACGAGCTTATTTAGAAGATAAGACCGCCAGGTAAAGTTATCGGAATGATAGTTATCGAACACTTTATCTGGGACATGAAAAGACCGGCCCTTACTATGTTAATAGCTGCCTGATTAAAGAGTGAAGATATCGGCAGTTTTTTTAGAGTTACCAGTGCGCATGTATATGTCGTAATTAATTACAGTACTATGATGTTATTTATATGACTACTTGCAATTATTGTTTATACACATTCCAAAAGGTTTTCTTATTGTTTTCATATGAATTTTGAAATAGATATTAACTTTTTGTCCCCTCTCACACTAGTCTAAAATGAATGCGTGTTGTTAATTTGTAACCTTCTAGCAGAACATTACTTAATATAGAATTATAACTGAATCATCATTTATTCAGTGCCTGAGAACAATGATGCATATAATTCCAACACGATTTTTCATGATTTATATTAGATATTTGCCTAAAATTACGATAACGTTGACCTAAATACCTGGTGGAAAAATTACTGCTCCCTTAAATTGAAAAAAAATCATTGCTTATGATAATTCTATTTTATGGTAATATGTTTGACTCAGTATAATTATAACAAACAAAAGTGTTAAATAAATGTAACACTTTAAAAGCTGATTACAAATATTCACGACGAAATAAAAGTAACAATAAAAACAGTTTTTGTTTATGTGCATTTTTTCCACCTCTAAATTGAATTTTCTTATTAAATTCAGAACACACATAACCCCAACAGTTTAATATTTTTATGAGACTTAAAGTGCTCAAAACAAGCTTCGGCGCAGAAAATTTTCTCAGAATGCTTTTACTTTCTATACACAGCCGTCGTTGCAGCTTTTATGAAGGCGTTAAACTTTAACAAACCAAAAAAAAAAGAAAACGTAGTCATCTCCTGAAAGTTGCATGGCTTTGAGTGGAAGTCGATAAAATCCCAAATACACTTCTGATTTAACATCCTTATCAATAAAAAGTTGCAGCCCCACAAAAAGTATTTCGATATTTCGTACACGAGCAAGCTTTACAATGAAATATATTCCAACTTTAAAAACTTCAAACAATCTCGCTCCACAAAAGAGGGCATTTCCTGGAGCAACTTCCGACATCCCCAAGGTGTAGTTTGACATGCATGTGAATTTATCAGCGACATAAAGAAACGGCAAATCACGTCCGCAACAAATTTTCATCTAACCTCGCCTCTTTTCGTAATGAGCGGATTTAGTGCTCATCCAAGAAGTTTGCGAAGAAAACTTTTGCGGACAAATCGCTTTAAAGACTCATTTTTTCGTTGTTATTAATTGCAGTCAAGCACTCTGCGCCAACAGAAGTTTAAGCTTGTTAAATCCGACTAGTTCCGATTATGATACATTTCCTTTCAACTCCATCATTAAAAGTTTGCCAACATCACAACGCTTAAATCGGTGAAAACTCCAGAAACAATAGGCTGAAGGCAGAGTCGGCAATATTTGTGCAAAATCGCCAATTTTTTATATAAACAAAATCACCGCCTACCGTCTAACAACTGCTGGCAATTTTCTTACGCCGCCATGCTCGAGCGGAGCCAAACCTGAAACAAGAAGAGAGTTTAGTGTGCAAATAAACATGAAGAGTCAAACTAGTTTAATACACGAGTGCTATCAGCGAATTTAGCGCTAGAGACTCGCTTCCAAGGTAAATAACACCAAGTCAGAACAAGCAATTTTGTTGAGTGACTTTCCGCCAAAAATAAACTCTCTAATTCCGAGTCTATTGGTTTTCCGAGCGCATCTCGATTTACATCATTTTATTTCGTGGCTCGACAAGTCTATTAAGATTAACAAGGGGAATTGCGAAACCTCAAACCTGAAGCACTAATCTTGCTGTTTTTCCATCACGCTGATTTGGTTTCCACATCGTGGCATCACGAGTGGTCTTTGTGTTTCTGAACCTCTTCAATCCGTAAATTTGCTAAAGTATCGCGCGCTTACTAATCCCAACGGTGTTCTTTGGAGAACTTGGCAAAGTTATGTTCAACTTAAAAACACTTTTTCCGATTTTTTTTCCAATTCTGTGGAAAGTGTTCGTCGTTCATGCTTATGAGACAATAAAAGTTTCAACAAGAACTCAAAAACAACAGGGTTTTACCGAAAAGAGTAAATGTAACTCCTGTATCACAACTCTTCGTTCTAAAATTAATTTGTAATAAATCTCGACAAGAAATGAAAAAAACAACTTTAAGAACTTTTTTTTAATAAACAGTAGCATGAACAAATTTATTCCAGTCTCGATAAAAATAAATTTATACGGAAAATATAAAAAAAAACATCCAAAGTTTAATTAGCCCGAACTTGCCTCGAGTCTGAAGCACAATAAATGATGAAGGATATTTTTTATTTAATTAAAAATGTTTAATACTCGATGTAAAAAAAGGGTGTTATAACTCTGAAGGCTTTGTGTGTCTGTGGTGTTTGTGTGCACAGTAAGTAGCTTCAAATGAATGAACCAATCTCAGTGCGGTTTTTTTTTTTTGAAAGCTGGTTTAATCAGGATGCTTCTTGCTGTGCTTTATAATTATCACTTCAGATATTTCAAAATCATCAGCGCATAACATAGTTGGTGTATAGGAATTAACTCGGCTCGCGCGAAGTTAGGAATAGCGCGTCTAGTTTTTTAGAAATAATTATAATTTCCTGATTCTAGCAATTTTCAACTGGATGTTGTCCGTAGAATTAGGCTAATTAGAACTGAAAGAAAAGTATATTCCAAGACAATAGTTTTCTGTGGAAGCCAATTACTTTTAATACATAATTTCAGAAACAGTAATTTTAAAAAATATATATCTTTTATAGTGGGATGAAAATTACATAACCTAATTTACTAACGTGAAAGGAAAAACATAGGGACTGTATTTTTTAACGATTTCTGGGCCATTTCTTAAAGTTTGCATATTGTAAACATTTTTTTCTCCAATAAAATGATGGTCCAGAAACTATAAAATGAATTTCATTACGCGACTAGTGAAATAATATTGAAGATTATATAACTCAAATAGCCGTCATAATAAATGATTTGATTATCATGTAGGTCACAAATAATAGTTATTAACATACCTAGGAATGTTATGGCTTTTATTACAGCCGCAGATGTCAAGTTGAAATGTGAGCTCGAAGAGCGAGCATTTTAAGACATCTAAGTCTGTTATGGGCCATAATAACATCCGTGGTCTGTTCAATAGTTTATCGGTTTCACGTGACCAACTTCCAATTTTTGTGCATTTACTAAAAAAAATCAAAAATTCTTACGTTTATTGAAGTTTTTTACCTTAAAAATCAATCATTTTGCAAGTTGGCTGCTATAGTTTTTTTATCGCAAAAAAAATATTTTCGTAAATTTTAATACATTCTAAAATGAATGAAACGACTGAACCTGTTTTACCTGAAAACGTGGTGGAAAGTTCTGAAGAAGCTTTTCAAGCTCATATTCCAACATTTCCAACCAAGTCGAAAGTAAGATATGAAAAATGTTATAGTGACCGACACTGGCACCAAATTAATAATAATAATTGTGCAGAAATAGTTAATGAAAATGTTCTTCTGGCGTATTTTCAACAGCTTGTATGTTGAAGACCCACCACTGACCCGGAAAAGACCGGCATTCAGGCAATACTTCTATCATTACGGGTATTAAGACCAAGTAATGATATGGATTGATTAGATTAACAAAACTACTTTCGAGATTCTAGATACAAATTAGTCTGCTGTTATTCTCTAATCTCACCCCATCCCCAAAAGTCTAGCGTAACTACCGATCATTTATCCGCGCATCACTTGGAAAGTGACCTACACTACTCTGGCCTACTGGTACTAAGTAATCTAATCTGACTGACATGATCAGACTGTTCGAGAAACTTACGAACAATATGACATGTTCCTAACAAAACAGCTTTTTGAATTTTGACAATTATTGAATCATTCAAATGCAAAGACTTTAAATTCTCAACTAAGCTATTTGGGACTACACCTACATTAGAGATAACTAAGGGTAGAATTGATTTTTTTTTAAGATTCAACATGGATTTCATTTCTATCGATAATTATTGTAGATATTTTGAAATCTTGGTGTGGTATGTTTGAATAATGTTGTTTGTGTTAGGAATAGCAATGTCAATGAGAATGGCTTCATTCGTGTGTGTTTTGATATGATGCCTGGTCTGTTAGCTGTAATGTTTAAGTCTATAAGTATTGTGCGATCCCAGTATAATTTATATTTGTTATTTTCAAGGAACGGAGATGGAATGTAAGTGTAATAGGGTGTCGTGTCTTCGATTAAGTTCATAAGTGTTGCTAATTCTTTGTGAATGATTTTGGCTGCGTTGTCCTGTCTAGCTTTGTAGTCAGTTTGTGCCAGGATGCTACAAGAGGAGATTATGTGCTGGATCGTTTTAGGTTTTGCTTTGCAGAGGCGACAGCAGTCGTTTCTTATATTCGGATCTTTGATGATGTATTTTCTGTAATTCTTGGTATTGATTACTTGGTCTTGAATAGCAAACACAAATCCTTATGTTTCGGCATACAAACTTGATTTTTTTAACCAAATCAATGACATCTTCTTGTTGACATGAGTTTCTTCTAAGTCTTTGTAGAATTTTCCATGTAGTTGTTTTTGTTTTATCCCACTTATTATTTTGTCTATTGTGTGGGAGGTGTAAATTTCTTCGGTGTTCGACAGATTTAAGGGTGTGTGGTTCAAATCTGCTCTTGTGATGGTGCGAAACATTTCATTTCTTTCTGCTCGTTTCAAGAAATACTTCTTCAGATCTGAGATTTGTCTCTGATATAAGTTTTCTAGGTTCTGGAAACACCTTCCTCCATTCTGTCTTGGTAATGAGAATCTTTCAATGGACGATTTTGGATGATGCCTTCTATACTGTGTGAAGATTTTCCTTGTTGCGATGTTTAAATTTTCAAGATCAGTTTTGGACCATTTAATGACTCCAAAAGAATATGTTAGCAGTGGAACGTAGAATGTATTTACTGCTTTCACTAAATTTTTTCCATTTAACTATGTTTTCAATATTAATTTTAATCTCGCTAGGTATTGATGTTTCAACTGTGTTTTCGTTTTGGTATGATTGATGTGGGAGGATTGACAGAAACCCAGATATTTGTATGTATCATTTCGTTCTTGGGCTTCGATTATTTCGTTATTCTGGGTTATATGTGGTATTTGGTGTTGGACGCCTTTTCTGATTGCTTGGGTCTTACATTTCTCAATACCAAAAGACATACCAATATCACCGGAAAACTGTTTAGTCAGATTTAATAGGTTTGTTAACTGATTTTGTATACTTGCATATATTTTTATGTCATCCATATACAGCAAGTGACTTATTCTGTTTTCTCTTTGTTTGTTAATTCTTATATTGAACCCATAATTGCAGCTGTTTAGGATATCGGAGAGGGGATTTATTGCTAAGCAGAACCATAACGGGCTAAGAGAATCGCCTTGAAAAATTCCTCTTCGGATCATTATTGGATATGACTGAATTGTTTGTTCATTTAAGGTTATTTGGAGGGTGGTCTTCCAAAATTCCATGGAACATTTGAGAAAAGTGTAGGTTTTAGTATCAATTTTGTATAATTCCAGAATTTTGCATAGCCAGGAATGAGGAACACAACCGTAAGCTTTCTTAAAATCAATAAAAGCAGTATATATGTTTCGGTTTTCTTTTCTAGCTTGTTCACAGATGATGGAATCTATAATTAATTGCTCTTTGCAACCAAAGGATCCTTTAATACATCCTGTTCTTCATTAATGATGTCAGAGTTAAAACAGTGTTAATAGATTTTTTGTGTAATGCATGAGGTTAATATTTTATAGATTGTCGGTAAACATGTGATAGGTCTTGATGGATTTTTTGTGTCGTTATCTTTAGGTTTTAGATATGTTACACCATGACATAAGAATGTTGGAAAGGAGGATGGGTCAAGAAGAAACTGATTTAAGTGATGTAGTAAATGAATATGTACACAATTTAATTTTTTTATCCAAAAATTATGGATTTTGTCTGGTCCTGGTGATTTCCAGTTGTGTGTCTTACTGATGGTATTTATTAATTCGGTAAGTGTTATCTGATGATGATGATCATTCAATGGTGTAACTGTGGATAGTTTATGGGATATATGAGGAATCCATTTGGCAGATTGGTTAAATTCAAATTCTTGAGACCAAAGTTTTGACCAAAATGTTGTTACATCCTGTGAACTTGGAAGTTCACCGGATAATTGAGTTTTGCTTGAATTAGTTAAATATTGATAGAATACTTTTTCGTTGTTTAAAAATTTAGTGTTATGAATTTTTCTGAGATGTGATTGTTTGTATCTTTTAAGTCTTTTGCTATATAAGGAAAGCTTTTGTAATAGGCTATCTTTAATTTGGGATAGTGTTGTGTTGTATTCATCGTAATCAATTTGATGAAAATTATTGTTGGTCAGTATCGAATGCATACATGTCATGATATGTGGTGTTTTAACTCCTCTAAGGTACTGTGTTATTTGACCTAGTTGTTTTCTAATGTTATTAATTTTA